TGTTCCACCATCAGATGTAGAAAGATGTTCCACCATCAGATGTAGAAAGATGTTCCACCATCAGATGTAGAAAGATGTTCCACCATCAGATGTAATGATGGAGGAACCCAAATGCACGACTCGGGAGCCAAAGTTCAAATAAATAATCTTTTAATGACAAAGTTTCAACTAAAAATCAGTCACTGAGAGGAGAAACAAAAACACTCTGATGAAGATCTACGTGGAATATTGCATAACAAAAAATCACTCTCAAGAGGAAAAATTATACGTATAGAAAAAGGCACGACTGTGGTAAACACAAAACCCGACTCTGACAGGATGACGTGGGCTGGACTGGTGGAGGTTCTCTGACTTCTAAAGACAAGACGAGCAGGACAAAGGGAGACGCAGACTATATATGCATATAAACCCACACACGGTAATGGGAACAGGTGGAAACCATCAGGGCAGACAGTCAGTCTAGTCTATTTACTTATTGATCCAAAGTTTACATTTTTCACAGAATCTGCCTCCAACTTATTTTGTTTTTGGTGAATTTGCAAATGAGGATTTACAGGTTCTGACTGATGCATGGTGTCATTTTGGTGATCTTTTTTTTTGTTTGTTTAAAGAGCTTCCCGATCGGCGGGTTTTGGATGTGAGAGGGTTAAAATGATCCAGACAACATGAACACTTTGCTCAGAGCGGCTTCACAGGAGAACAAGCTGATGGAAATGTCATTACATGTCATCAGATGCAGTCAGAGAACGTGGATCAGCTCTCCAACAGTGGAGCTTTGTGTTCGTCAGTGTTTTTACACAAAATGTTTAATTGCAGAAAAATAAAAAGTGTAATTTTATGGTCTATCGCTGTAAAAGAACAAAACACTGGTTGGAAAATTACTGATTCTGTGAACAGTCTGCGTGTAAATAAATCATTTTCTGCTGCGATTTCATGACATGTGATCTGTAATTTACCAAAAACAGGGAAAATCTGTTTTAAAACAATTTACAATTTAATTTTAATTTTTTTATTTTCTTCCAATCCTTAATATACAGGATTTTAGTTTTAAATAACGGAAAATATTTATTAAATGACAATATTTTTGCAGATGTAAATACCATAAAAACTGTGGAAGATAATGGTCAGAAATGTCTATTTATTTACTTTTTTCTCATGTAAATATAATTTACTGTGTTGGTCTGTTGTTGCAAATGAATCAAGTAATTTATCAAAACAGGAAAAATGTGTAAAAATAAAAAAAAATGTAAAAATCCTTAATATACAGAATTATAGTTTTAAATACAGGAAAATATTTGTCAAATAACTTTTTTTTTCTGATTTAAATTCTATAAAAGCTGTGGAAGTTCATGGTCGCAAATTTCTAGAATATTTGTTTTTTGATGTGGATGTTATTTACAGTCTTTTTTAAATAATCAATGTACATTTTTCTGTAATTTTATAGACATCATGTGTAATTTAACCAGTCAGGGAGCATCTATAACATAACAGCACATTGTTGTTGTTTTTTTATTTAATTTTTTGTGTTTTCTTTCAGGAAGAAGAAGCTGCATGTGATTAAAAACCCGCCATGACAGCCAAGATGGAAACCCTGGATCCGTCCGCCCTGGAGGCCTCCGCCGTCACCTTCGACCCCAAGTCGGAGGCGGTGACCCTACCGGGAGGCGTGGTCTCGGTGGCGGGCGTCACCGTGGTGACCGGCGGCGTGGAGCTGTCCTGCAGCTCCTGCATGCTGGCCTTCGGCTTCTGGGGGACGCTGATCGGCTTCAGCTGCGTGGCCGTGGGCCTGTGGGACCAGCTGAGCCAGTCCGCCGGCGGGACCTCCCACCTGCTGGCGCTGGGCTTCGTCATCCTGGCCCTGAGCTTCGCGGTGGCGGCAAGCGTGGCGGCGTTCCACCTGCTGACCCGGAAGAGGAGGGAGATGACGCGGGAGGCGAGGGAGGACGGGAAGGAGGTTCTGGTGGAGAGCGAGAGGGTCATAAAGAAGGTGACGGTGTAGAGAAACGGGCAGAACGTCACGTAGACTGAACAAAAACCAGCAGAACGAGACAGGAGACGAGGTTCCTGATGACCTCTGACCTTCTGGAGTCCGACTCTCCTGCTGGGCTGTTTGTTCCTAGAATATTTCCATTTATGCATTTTATTCCTTTACATTTGAAACACTTTTTAATGCATATATTTACAAGCGGGTCGATATTTTATATGACGTTTTACTGGTCGAATTGTGAGACTTTGACAAATAAAACTGTTCAAACAATATTAATTCATTTTTTATATTTTAACCTGTTGCCTCGCAGCAAGAAGGTCTCCGGTTGGCGTCCCGGTGGGGGCACCGGGATCTTCCTGCGTGGAGTCTCCATGTTCTCCCCGTGCAGCGTGGGTTCTCTCCGGGTTCTCCGGCTTCCTCCCACAGTCCAGAAACATGTTGAGGTTAATTGGTGATTGTAAATTGTCCGTAGGTGTGAATGTGAGTGTGCTTGGTTGTCTGTCTCTAAGTGTAGCCCTGTGATAGACTGGTTACCTGTCCAGGTGAACCTGCCTTCACCCTGAGTCAGCTGGGATAGACTCCGCCCCCCATGACCCTAGTGAGGATTAAGCGGTGTATAGATAATGGATAGATGGATATTTTAACCCACTATGACTTATTCTACCACTTCCACTGCTTCCGTTCTTTAATTCTTACAGATGTGAGTGTTACGCGTTTATCAGACGGAGAAAAGGGAAGCAGCACCAACAGAAAGTCAAGTTTCACGTTCAAGGATCAAGTAATAAAAGTCGGGTTTGTTTTGCAGAATTTTGCAGTTTGATTCAAGATTCTAATCACCTGCAAAAAAAACACACACGTCCTCATTTAGTTGATCGTGTTTCATTTCATGTCCAGATGTTCTGAGAAGCTGCTTCCTCCTGCAGCCTTAACAGAACACAGTCTGCATTTATTTGCACCATAAAAACGACATTAATGACAAGAACAAACATCCGGTTACCAACAGCGACGCTCAAACCTCCTTGTTTAGGTTTATAAAGCCACAGACGAGGATTATCTTGAGCAACCAGACGTGGTGCTCTGGGTTTGTTCTGCATTGAATGCAACAAATCAGCAAAAATAAAGGCTGATTAACTTTAAGACGTAGAAGTCAGTCGCTCTGTCTTCAGGCTAAAACACAACGAAAACCTAAAGAGACGGTCAAGGAAAGAAAAACAGAAGATCTGGTGGTGAGGGTGCTAAAAAAAATAAACAAAAAAAAAAGTTTAAAGAAAGATTGAATTCTGTAACGTTCAAAAACTGTTAAAAAAAAAACTGAATTAAATGAAGAAGATGTCAAACCTGCTGTTACGTTTATGAACGGGCTTCATGTGGATCAGCAGCAGCAGCTGAACTGACAGAAAGGTTCAGAGACGTGTTGCTGTCTCCATCTGCTGGAAGGAAAATCAACCTCGTCTCTTTACATCCCAGCTCTGATTTACAGTAAACGCTGGTTCCCCTTTTTCCTGTTTCTCTGAACTGTCTTCATGTTGAAGTTTCACTGGTCATGTAATAAAAACTGAAGCTTCTGAACAGACGCCTCTAAAAAAAAAAAAAGCATTTCTTTCTTTTACCTTTACCGTGTTCTCAGCTGTTTTCTGTTAACATCAGGTTATTAGTTTTGTTGAAGGTTTTTTTGACGACTGCTTATTAACAGATGAATATAATAATCTGTTATTTGTGCTGCTGCAGGTTTAGACTGCTGAGGGTTTCCCATGATGCTCCTCTCCTTCCTGTTTGTGTCCATCACTGCATGTCACTAACTTCTCGTCATCTCTTTACTCCTCATTATTATGACATTTGTTTTCATTTATTCTAATTTTAAGGGATGTTTCTGTCATGGTTTATTGTTGCTGTAGAGCAGCCTCTCTGCATGTCGCAATCAGAAACACTTTATTTATCCCCGAGGAGAAATTCTTTTCATGCCCAAGAATGACGATAGAAATACAATACGATTAAAATAAAAATAAAGAATAAGGAGACGCATAAAAGGTAATAGATGAATAAATATCAAAGCACAAAAAAATTATAAATCAACCTCTAAAAGAAAACATGTTTACACAAATGTTCAGTTAGGTGCAGGTTGGATTTGGTGTCCAGGATATTGAAAGTGGAGTTTGGTGGTTTGATGGCAGCAGGCGTCGCTCTGTGGTGCAGCAACAGTCTACTGGGTTAGGCTTACTCCTCTGACTGTATGAACGTCTCCAAAAAAGCTATTTTTGTGCGGTAAAGACAGACTTAACTTCACACCTGAACAACTCTCTGGCACTGTTAAAAAAAATTAAAATAAAAATCCATCTAAAGATGGTAAAACTCTGCAGAAAAATATAATGAAAATGGTGGAAAACCAAACATATAGACATTATTTTAAAAAGGTTAAAATAGTGACAAATATCTGTAAAATATTGATCTGTTTTGATGATTTCAATAAAAACATAAAAATAAAATTAAA